AGACAGTGCCAGGTGAGGAGGGGCTGTGACTGCCCTGCTCCCTTCCACGGAAGGTTGTTGGCAAAGTCCCCACCGTGCCAGGACAGAGCAGCTGCCGGTGGAGGGCACTTCCCAGGGATGTGGGCTCTTCTCAAGTTCCCTGGCACAAAGCTGTGGAGCACAATGATAGTGCTTGATCATGGCTGAGCGCTTTGCAGGGATCCCTGCTAGCAGGAGACAATCAGGGTGGGCTTGCAGATGCAATGCTGCTGCTTGTGGGTGGTGAAGATTATTTACTGAGTTCCAAGATTTATACAGCTCAGGTTTTGAATTGATACTGTCTGCTTAGGAATAAAAATACAAAAGGTATTACCCTTTGTGTAACTGAGACTGCTTGTCAGAAAAATATTAATTGCACATTTTAACTCCAGTCTTGTGCTGGGCTGACAGACACTTGAGCAGCAATTCAGTCTGCTTGTAAAGATTTGTGCCCCAAAGAAAACAGAACAGCTGATGTAAAACAGCTTCATCCAGAAATTGCTCCTATCACCAAAGTTTCAAGATGTAAAAAATGCAGCCAAACATCATTCATCAAGCACAGACCAAAAATGCACTGCCCAGTTTATCAAAGGTGTAGAACAAAAACCAAAGCAAATCTTTATGCTGCTTAAGTCTTTGGTTATGTCTGTCCCTGGCCTGCTGGGGCAGCTTCTTGAAACTTACCCAGATGGAGACCTTAAAAGCAGGTTCTGGTGACCTGGTCTTTCCCAAAGAACCTGTGTTGATATTGTAAGAAGCCCAGAGAGAGGGTAGATTATCTGGTGTTACTGACACTAACTCACACAGCCTTTTGCCTCCTTGGTGGGGCTCTTGTGATTGGGAATCTCAGGCTCTTATGGGATATATACTTGTATATTTGGGGAAATACAGGATCCCACCAGGTGAGTCAGTCTGCCTGGTGCTGCTTTTTTTTTTACTCTTTCATGTACTACATTGTACCTAGACCAGGTGGGAAAGTCTGCATGGACAGAGGATGCTAGAGACTGTCAGCATAAACTTGGTCATTTATTTTCATTTATTTTCATTACTGAGAAGGGTAAAGTTTCCATCTTGCACCCGTCTCCGTTACTGAGAAGGGTAAAGTTTCCATCTTGCACTTGTTCCCCAGGTAATTGTTGTTTGGTGATCTATAAGGGTCATTTAACTTGGTTTTAACTGCATGATCTGAATAGTTCTGTGACAAAACAAAACACTGCTAGTAATCTAGGCAATTTGTGTTTTTTAAAACGTATAGTCTGAACAAAACGCACCCAGTGCTGATTGGCTGTGAACAAAGTGTGCTGCTCTGTCACCAGAGTGGGGTGGTGAGTGTATACAGCTCTGTGGGGACAGGGGAAAATGCTCTCTCAGCTGCAAGAGTGAGGGATGACCCTGAGTGAGGGAATGTCAGAGGATGGGAAAGGGAGCACTAAAACCATGCAGGAGTTCTCTGCAAGGCTGAATTTCAAGGAAGAGCAGAAAGGGGTCTAAGGGATAATTACCTTCTACATTTTTACTTCACTTGTAATGCACTGTTTTTCATCCTTGTGCCTGTTCCTACCTGCCCTTTGGCTTTAAGCTTTGGTTAAAAAAACTTTCCTGTGGCTTGTTTAAAAACCTGTTTATTGCCAAGGGCTTGGGTGGAACCAGTGAATGGAGGTGCAGTGCTGGAGATGTGCAAGGAGCCAGGGGCTGGACAGGGGTGTGCTGCTCTAGGGAGACAGCTGGGTTGTGCTGCTGTGTCTGGGCAGCAGCTGGTGACAACAGGCTGGCTGTGAGGCCACTTTGCTGTTTTCTTAGCCATGTCCTGTCTCCATTTCTACCCTTCAGGCTACTCTGCTACCCTGCCCTGCCTGGGGGCTTTGCCTCACAGCCAGTGACAGGGTAGTGCTGCCAGAGGGGAGTGTCCTTGTCAGCTTCTTGGCCACAGTCATGAGGTCATGAGGCTTCCCAGAATAGAGCAGCTGAGACCTGAGCTGTCCCCAGCCTGGGCCAAGCAGTGATGGGACCTGTCCTCCTTGCCTGCAGGGCAGCTAGAGCAGGGGGCCCTGGAGGGGCTGTGGCTGGAGGCAGCAGCAAGTCCTGCCCGGATTCCATGGAGGGTCTGGGCTGTGTCATGGGGAGCAGCCCACGCAGAGAAGGCAGGAGCCAGGAGGCCATTCGTACGCGCACGGCGGATGGTCCTGCCCAGGGCTGCTGGCAGGCCCTGCTGAGGGGGGATCAGGAGATCGTGGCCAAGATCCTCAGCGACCCTCAGAACAACCTGAGTTCCAATGCTGTCTTTGACACCAGTGACCTGGAAGAATGGAAAAACTACCGCTTCAACATCCGCCGGCTGAGTATGCAGGGAGCTGAGCAGGGGCTCAGAGCCTGCTGCTGCAGGGCTCTGCCACTGCTGGGGGTCCGTGTTGTTGTGATGCCCTTTGGGGTATGGAGGAGTGGGGATGGCAGAGAGAGCACTGGGCTGTGGCTAGGTTCCCCTGCACTGCTTGTAGGAGTGTGCCTGGCTCTTGTGGAAGCCTGAGGTGTGCCCAGGGAACCTGGCCCTCCCAGCAGGGTTGTGCCAGGGCTTGGGTTTCCCGCTGGACAAAGGAGACTGAAGGTCCATGTTGTGGTGCTTCTGTGACCAGCCCTGTAGCCTGAGTCTATGTGCCTGTTCTGTGTGCAACCTGTGCTGGTCTGCTGGCCTCTCTCTGGGGTTTGTGCTGGGCAAGGAACTGTTACAGCCCTGCTGTAGGTCCTTGAGATAGCTCAGTTCAAACCTGGCCTTGGGAAGCACAGTTGACCACATGCTGCTTCTGTAAGAGAGAGGTGAGAGGGATATAGAGTTGAACATGTCTGGGACATGGTCCTCCAGCCCAACCTGGATGGGCAGCAAGAAGTATGATTTAAGGATCCCTGTTCTGTAAGAGCTGCAGGCTCTTTGCCACCAGGCTGCAGCAGCTTGGCAGTGGCTCCAGCTGCATCAGCATCTTTGAGGGCTGGCAGGTTTCAGCCCCTTGTGCTCTATTGGGCCCTGGGTGTCCATTTCTGATGAAGCTTGCTTGTCTCCACCATGCTCAGTGCTTGTCTGCATTTCCTGTGTGTGTGGGCAGCCTGTTCCAGCACCTCTCAGGTTTACTGCTTCCTTCCTTGTGCTTATGGTGCTTCATGCTCAGGTCTCCTCCAGCCACCTTGCTGCTTTCAGCCCTGCTCCAGCCCCAGGCCCTCCTCTTGTCAAGTGTGTCTGTGGTGTGTGACTGAGCTGCAGGTGGGCAGCAAACGTCCTGGGAACAGCCTCTGCCCCCGGGCTTCTGCTCCTGCCAGCTCTCTGCCAGCATCCCCAGGTCTTTGCCTTGGCAGCCCAGCCCGGAGGCAGGGAGGAAAAGGGACTGGCAGAAAGAGCCAGAACCTCCAGGGGACCTCAGGTGCCTGGAGGGGGGAACGTCCCCCAGGTGCCCCGGGGGCAAGGGCCGGTCTGGGCCCGGAGGTGGCTCCCTGACCTCTCTTCCCTGCAGGACTGTGGTCTCTGAGTTACGAGCAGGAGCTCACCACGCCGCTGCTGATCACGGCCAGCCGGGGCTACACCGAGTGCCTGCGGCTGCTGCTGCTGCGCGGGGCGGACCCGGAGCTGGCCCCGGGCGGCCGCTCGGCCCTGCACCAGGCCTGTGCCGCCGCCCGGCCCGCCTGCGCCCGCCTGCTGCTCGCCTTCGGGGCGGACCCCCAGGCTGGCTCCGAGGACGGCTACAAGCCCCTGCATCTCTGCAAGAGCCCGGACTCCTTCGAGTGAGTCCTCCCCGGGGGCACAGTGGGCCTCCCTTCCCCCCAGCCTCACCCTGCGGAAGGGGTCCCTGCGGGTGGGCTGCTGGCCTCGCTGCCCGCTCCTGGGTCACCTCGGGGCTCCAACAGGTGGCCGCAAGCGCTGCTCTCATTGCAGAGTGTGGTGCCAGCGTCTTGCAGCACCGGCAGCGCAAACGCTGATGGTTCACGCTGTGGAGCTCAGGGCATGCACTGAGCAGGGACCCCCATGTTGTGTGGGGCAGACTCTGCACGGGATGATACTTTATTGAAGGTCTATGCAGAGTTAAAATGGGGATGATGGTATCTCGGCTTACCAGTCATCCTGGCTTTAATCGGCTGCTCGAGGGCACGAGGAGCAGGAATTTTTGGACTCTTGGAAAAAGTTAAAGCCGTGGGATGGTGTAGACACAGGATGTGAGAGGGAGGTAGGATCGGAGCTGGAGAGGGGAGCCCATCTCTGAGTCACCTTGGCCCCCGCAGGTGTGTGGAGCAGCTGCTGCAGCACGGAGCCAGCGTGAACAGCCGGACGGAGGAGGAGGGTGACACCGCCCTGCACATCGCGGCGCGGCACGGGCGC